TCATTTATAATATTTTAAAATAATAAATAACTAAATACTAAAATAATTTTTTATTAAAATCATGATATAATACAATTTAACACAATTACAACCCCTATACTACTTAATAACTCCAATCATGCCCTTAATCATATTAATCTTATAACATCTCATCATAATTGGAAATTACACTACCTAATCATATCATTTTCGTAACATTAATTAACTTTTAATTAAATTTGATTACGATCACAGAAATCTTTTCCGGCATCATCTCTGTTGCCCGGCTTCTGGTATCCTTCTCTATTTCTCCGACGTCATCACTATGAAAATCCAGGAGAAATCCATTTTGAAATCAAACAACATATGCAAAAATTTTAATAGTCTTAAATCAAAATATCTTCGTACAATGAGGAATTGAAATTGAAATTACCCTCCTATTGGGGTTGGGTACTACCTTCACTCTGTTTTTCCATTTCTCGTATGTACCTAGACACCAAATTACAAAACAAATTTGCACAAAACCGAACCCTTCATCCTCCATTTCCAAGCTTTTCTTACCTCACTTTCCTGCATACCCATCTTCCAAAATCAAGTTTTTCACTCAAAGATTCAAGAAATTACAAAAATGAAATTCTTTGTCATCAGCTTCTTCTTCCTCCTCCATTATCTCTCGTCCGGCCCCAAGCGGAGAATCACCGGAGAACCCAAAGACAATTTGATGGATTCTTTGGTGGTTTCTCACAGAACCCTTCTCTAAACCAGAAAATAAAGGAAGAAGAGGAGGAGAAAGGGGGAGGAGGAGGGAGGAGAGAGAGGTGAAGAGAGAGAGTCGAAGTGCTGTCACTGCTTGAGCATTGAGGGAGAGAAGGGTTAAGCTGTAAAACTGTAATTTCAGTTTTTATGATTGAACAGTGGCAAATTAGCCTCCCAAGTGAAACCAAACACAAATAAAGGTAATTTTTGTCTAATCGACTAATTCTAAGTGATTTGTCCAGGTGTGCCTCCACCTTAGCATCCATCTCAGCCAAAAATGGCCACGTTAGACACAGAGGAAGGGCTGATGAACAGAATGTTAAATGTTAATGGAAATGTTAAGAGAAGGGCTGATTTGCCACTGCAGAGGAGTTGAGGGGTTGATTTGCGCGTGAAGTGGGTTGAGGGGGTGATTTGCCACCAGTTGTTGAGTTTAGGGGCTGATCTGCACCTTTTGCCACAAAGTAATAGATCATTTTGCACGGCTACTAGTAGTAACAATTAAAACAAATGTTGTTAAAATCGAGATTTTACTTAAGATTGAAAAGGAAAAATAAGATTGTAAATCGTAAAATCGTAAATAAAATCGTAAGATCTTAACAAAATTTTACGTTTTTATATAATTAATAAAAATAAATATAAATTATGTAAATGTCATAAAATAAATTGTTAAGGTTATTTAATGATGGAATAAGTCTAAAATAAAATATTTAAGTTCAAATACAAAGTACTTAATAATTCATAACATAATTTAATACTTAAATATGTAAATCAAATAAAAAAGATAATAAAAATATGAATAATTGTTATTATTAACATGAAAGATAAAATTAAATTTTAAAAAATCAAAAAAATTAAAAGAAAT